CGACGGGTGGCGGGGGCGGCGACGACGACGGACGGCGGGGGCGCGCGGCGACGACGACGACGGGCGGCGGGGACGGCGAGGGCGGCGCGTCGGCATCGGCGTCGTCGAGATCGAGACTCGCGCGCGCGAGCAGTGGAACGACTGGCGACGATAACTGAATTTTCGTAAATGCCATATATATAGGATGGGCCTTTAGTACCGGTTGGTGGCTCCAACCGGTACTAAAGGCCAATTTTGGCCAGCCCAAGCGGCGGGAAACGTGGACCTTTAGTACCGGTTGGTGGCTACAACCGGTACTAAAGGGCAACACATTAGTATCGGTTGGAGGCTCCAACCGATACTAATGCCCGTGCGCTGCCACCCCACAGTGCGCTACGTTTAGTCCCACCTCGCCGAGCGAAGGGCAGCCGCACTGGTTTTTATAAACCCAGTCGCGGCTGCCCTTTCGAACTCCTCTATATAGCAGGATTTTGGGCCTAATTAGGGCGCGCTGCCCCGTGAGCCTGCTGTCCCTACTGGGCATGTATTTGCACACCCAAGGTCTGGCAGGCCCACTGGGCAGCGCCTCAACATGTGTTTTATAAATTATTTTCTTTTCTACATTATTTATTTTCTTATATTTATTTTTCAGTAATTTTTTATATAGTTATTCCTTTTCTGCTTTATTTTTTTCTTCTATTTATTTCTGAATAGTATTTATTTTCTTCTATTTATTTTTCAGTAATTTTTTATATAGTTATTCCTTTTCTGCTTTATTTTTTTCTTCTATTTATTTCTGAATAGTATTTATTCTTCTTCGTCTTCTTCTTCTTCTTCCTCTTCTCTTCCTCTTCTCTTCTTGTATAGAATCTAAATTATCAATAGGAATCTACCACCGATTTAAGAACCAGCGAAGACTCCTATTGCACCCTCAGATCCTACACATAGAGTTCAATGAAGACCAAATGCTTGTGATAATTTGAGAAGTAACATATTTAAAATGGTCAAATTCTTGCTAAGGGAGCGATGTGGGACTAAAAATAGCCCCTGCCACAACCTCTTTAGTACCGGTTCGTGCCACGAACCGGTACAAAAAATGCTGGTGCCTGACCAGCATCTTTAGTACCGGTTCGTGACACGAACCGGTACTAAAGATTCGCAATGAACCGGTATTAAAGGTCTCCTCCCGCCTAGTCTTTTGAACCGACACTAATGGACACATTAGTGCCGGCTCATATGCAAACCGGTACTAATGTTACTCATATTAGGTCCTTTTTTTCTACTAGTGAAGCTGGAAATATGTCCTTGTTGATTGATCATCTGGTACAACCAAGTGAGACGGTTTACGAGTTGTGCTTATAACGTTGCGAAATCATTGCTACATAGTTGTATATTTTTGTCACCGGTGATGGAAATATTTTTGGGCATTCATATTTTCTTAATCCCTTCTGTGTTGCTGTTAGGCCATCTGATTGATGGATCATGTCGGTTGATATATTCCTTTTGTTGCAGCCTATGACTATGTTTGTTCCATGGAAGTGCTGTTCTTCAGCTCTCAGGTGATTATGCATCTGTGATGAACAGTAAAAAATTTGAAAAAAGGAAAAACATTAAAAAAGTTCTTGTGATAAACATTGTTGAATATTTACCAACATGAAAAAAATTCGTGATTAAAAAACATTTGTGACATTGGAAGCGGAATCTGTCTAGTTAAGAGTAGAGGAATTGAATTTGGGCCTCGCCTGAGCAAAATTGTTAGGGATGGACGATGGCGTGCTGCTGCTGCTGCTAATGTGTTACTCCCTCCGTAAATTAATATAAAAGCGTTTAGAATACTAAAGTAATGATCTAAACGCTCTTATATTAGTTTACAGAGGGAGTATTTGGGTTCTACTCGTAGGTCAGTTAAGTTTGTCATGACTTAAAACAGACACAACATTGCCCACCAAAGAAAAAAACAAACTGCCGGAGCGGTTAAGTTTTTTAAGATGCCGTAGAGGCTAAGCTTTTCTCAGATTAGATGCCGTAGAGGCTAAGTCTCTTTCCCATCAAATCCGTAGAGGCCAAGTCTCTTTCCCCAGCCATCACATCGCGTATTTTAGGTTTCCTTGTGCGCCTGCGTCTGCCCGCGGAAACTAATAGTAGCATCCAAACAATCGAATCTGCCACCGATCCACACGACGATGGACGCAGCCAGCGACGGCATGCGCTTGCCCTACGACGTGCTCCTCGACATCCTCCGCCGCCTGCCGGGGCGCGACGTTTGCGCGTCCCAGTGCGTGTGCCGCGCGTGGCGTGACATAGTCAACAACGACCACTGGCTCTCCCTAGAGCGCTACTTCCCCCGGCGCGCCTTCCCCGGCCTCTTTGTCAACAAGACAGGGTGCCGCTCCAATACATCCTTCTTTGCGCCCCCGGCCAATCGCGGCATGCCTGGCTTCAGGAGCCCCGTCTACCCGCACCAGGCGATAGTATACCAGTCCTGCAATGGCCTCCTCCTCCTCGAGGAGGGGGGCGATTACGTGCTCAACCCAGTGACAGCGCGGTATACTCGTCTGCCGCGGCCATCGATGCCGTATTACTGGCATGGCATATCTCTGGCTTTCGACCCTGCCGTGTCGTTCCACTACCATGTGTTCCGCTTTCCCGAGGGTGGCTTGCTCAAGGAGCCATTATCAGCCACTATAACGCAAGGCGAGGTTCCGCCACTCGAGGAAGCACAAGCAGAGGAGTTCGAGGAACCCCTGAAAAAAGTGTTCTCAATGTTAATGTACTCTTCATGCACAGGGCAGTGGGAGGACCGAGAGTTCACACCTGGACTTTGTGCATCGGGGCACCTCTACGACATGGTTAGCAGAACGCCTGAGAGCTACGAGGGTCCATTTCATTCATCTAATTACTGGCGTGGGTCTGTCTATATGCATTGCCACAACAGCGTCCTCGTGATTCTACACCCCTCGAAGGGAACTTATGATATGGTCCAGCTTCCCGGAGAACCCTGCGGTCCAAAAAGCTGGTACTCGCTTCCCAAAAATTCAGTCTTAGCAAGCTATGAGAGAGGGGTACATTATGTGGTGACTAACAATTCACAGCTTCGAGTATGGATGCTAACGGAATTGACCAATGGACAACTAGGTTGGGAATTGGTACACGACGCCGGCCTCAACCTGCATGGTCATATGATTCGTACTCTTAAAATACAACCCAAGATGATATGGAGGATTGTTGGAAGCAATGGAGGACCAGTCAGCTTGTCCGACTATGAGATAGAGGACAATTGGGCCACACCACATGACTCTGAATATTCATGGGACTCTGATGAGGACAACTACATCGACATGGTTGGAGGCGCCGACCACCATGAGTCGGTGGAACAGGGTGCCTACTGCAGTATCATGGGATTCCATCCACACAAGAATGCACTCATCCTCGCTCTTAGCGGCGCGGTGGTAGTGTATCATCTCGACACCTCGAGGATGCAGTATCTGGGAGACGAGGACGAGCTTGATAAAGACAACTCGCAACACGCTTGCTGTGTCGAGCATTCGTTCATTTACCGACCTTGCTATAAGGACATGCTACCAAGAGGGAAATTATCGATGCCACCACAAAATGATATACGATCCAATTCTACATAGCGCTTGAGACACTCCTTGCTCAGGTTTACCTACATGGCTGTGAGTCCTTCCCTGGTAAAGTTCTATTTACTAGTAGTAGAAGAGGAAAATTGCTTGATTACTTTTAGTTAGTTGGATTGAGTCAGTCTTGCTATTGGTTGATTATTTTACATATGTACGCGCCGCTAATTGTATACACGTTATTTGTCACAGACATCCATGCACCCCCACCAGTGGTTGATCTCCCCATGTTGGTTTATGAAGTTTTGATATTTTTCCTGAGACAACATCGAGTCGATGTCACATTTTCTTACAAATGTTGACAAATTTTCTACTATCGTGCAATTTTTACACTGTCTAACAAATTTTGCTATCGATTGAGATCGCCACACAATCATTACATTTTTTTCACCGACAAATAATTTCACCGAAGCTGCGAAAGTCATGGAGCACTAAGATACAACCACACCCATTGTGAAAATGTAAAGTGGTATTTTTGCAAAAAAAGAAGAAGGAAAGTGGTATTATTCTCAAATTATACTGAGGACGAACTTGAAGTTAATGGTCAGGCGAGGCATCATGCATGGCTACGCAGTTAATTGGGCCTAGGTGGTATAGCCCACTTGTGGCCATGATGGGCATCTGAGGATATCTCATGTTGCCCATATAGATCATGCATCGTTATCTTTTGCGTTTCTTTCTGCTTAGAGTTGTCAGACATTGTGTTTTACTTATGCAGGGAAGACTTTGTGTTTTGTTTTTTTAGTAAAATAGAGATCAGAGAGGCGGGCTCTCTTTATCTCTATTTGCAAATAAGTCCCTACAGTTTGTTGAAATCAACCCGCGGTCCATCTATAAGTCATAACGAACCGTTTTTTTAACTTTTTTTGAAAACCCCCTGAGATTTCAGGTAATCAACCCGCCGTCCATATTTAAGTCATACGGATCGTTTTTTTTGTATTTTAACAAAAAACTCCCTAACCTTTCGGTTAATCAATCCGCAGTTTATCTAAAACAAAATTATCCATATCTTTTAAACCGTAACTCCGATTTTAACATATTATATATGAAATTTGATTAGAAAAATGTGTAGAATCTAAATATGCTGTTACTTTTAGCTGTTAAATATTTCTAAACTATTAATTTGGATGCAAACTTAATCTATAGTGCACGGTCCGTTTTTCTTTCGCACCAGCGGCGATCCAAATTGCAAATAAACACACATTAAAACCAGATTGAGTAGGAAAAAACATTGATAACCACGCATACACAACTCTGAAAAACCTCGCGGGAAAAAACAACACTTTTCTCATCTTATTCTGAGCGATTGTGTGCGTGCGAGCGCGCGCGTGTGTGCGTGTGAGAGAGAGACGCCTTAGGACTGACCACATTCAAATGCATTTTCGTTGTGTGAGCAGTGAGACCACCGTCGAAAACACAAATGTGATGCCATTTTAAATAAAGAACGTCTACCTATCAGGGTCTCGAGTCGTGGTCATTGGGTTAAGAGCGTGTATTTTTTCTGTCCCGTTGCAACGCACGGGCTCTTTTTCTAGTCAATAATAATAATAATAATTAATTGGGCCTAGCCCGTTTTTCCGGCGCGCTCTCTGGGCCATTTAACGAACACTCTTAGCAAAAGCTTCGTCTTCGTTCTGCACGTAGTTTCCTCTATTTATACAGAGGGTGGTACGTAAATTGTTTTAACACGTGACAGACGTGCAAGTTACGTAAACTTGATGTATGTAGATTGTTTTAGCCGGCGAGGAAATCCAGGAAAACGACGGCACAGCCGGACTCTTG